TAATTGTTTTTGGATTTTTACATCACCAGGTCCACAACCAGATCTGTCCCTCAACATATCCTCTAGGACATTTCCAAAAGACCAGTATTCAGTTAGCTTTTTGAGCTCAGCAATATACTCTAAGATAGATTCACCTTCCTTCCTCATTCTGTTGTGGAATTTGAAACTTTCTACAATAGTGTTTGGTTTTGGAGGGCTTCTCTCCCACTTTTCTTCTTCCTTTCTTCTCATCAATTTAAAAAAAGAAAAGGGGCGGGGAGGAAGGGGTGTTTCTGTCAGGCATCTTCTCCAATAAACTCTCCAAGACTGGAACCATACTTTGTCAGCTTTAGCCTGGTGAGGCCCAGCCTGCGATTCCCTTTGTATTTTGAATGTTATAAGCATATTCATTTCAACAATTTGTGGCTAACTATTATAACGTTTCTATTTTTTTCTCTTGAATCAAATAGCTTTTACTTAAAGCACCCACAAGTCTTATGAAATAATGAAGGAAATGCTAAGTAATAATGGATTTGGTCTGCAACACAATATGTGATTCATTTGTAACAATGGAATTCAAAAAGCTAATTTACCACCTGGTTTCTCTGGGCATTTTTACATGCATTTTGAGATGCAGCACCAGATGCTTTAATTAAAAGCACCCGTGCGTCATGTGTATCAGCGTCCCTGTGCTGAAAAATGGTGGTGGGGCACTTTGCACTAAAGCTTACCAGACGTGTTTTAATTCAAAGTGCCCCACCACCATTTTTTCAGAGCAGGGATGCTCATACCTGTGACATGGAAGGCTGCCAGAGTGCATCAGTTTCTGTGCTTCAGCAGACTTGATTAATCCAGTGCATCAGAGCAGGCTCCCCACACATCTACAGGAGCCCTTTGAGCCAAAGAAAGTGGGATGGGGGGGAAGAATAGCATTTAAGCAAAGTTTCATCAAGTAGCTGACGGTTAATTTCTCCAGAAAAGATTTATCAGAAATCTGACCTTTAAGTGTCCTAAAGGATTTTTTTCCCTTCTATTTTCTTCTTTCTCTTGCCATCTCAAAATATTTTATGAACAAAAGATCTTTAAATTGTTGCTGTAAGCAACAGGTGGGTGAGCAGAACAGGACACAGCCCAGGACACAGTTTTACAGAAGTGTCACAATGACAGCCCCAGGAAAGGCGGCTCAGCAACAGCCTATGTGCTGGGATGCAGGACTTTCCAGTGCTTGACACACGATGACATTTAATCATAAGTGTAATGCTGAAGTTGATATGTTCTCTTAATAGACGATAAAAAAACAAAATCTCTTTTCCTAAAAAGCTTATGAGCTGGGCCCAGTGCTCAGTGAAGTCAGAGGGAATCTTTCCCTAGACTTGATAGTCTGACATCCCACAGCAGCTTGTCACAGTACTGGCCAGTGTTGCTGTAGAGAGACTAGAATGGAATAGATTTTTCTGCCTAAAAAAAGACAAGGGATACCTACAATTTTTCAAAAGGCTCTGGCTGCTGTGGCCAATGACGAAGCTTTTTGCACAATCTTATAATAACCTTTGGGGAAGGAGTGGGTGGAAGGAAGGGAAAACCAACAAACAAATAAAAGGATAGCTTTATAGAAAACCTGCATATGAGATTGGAAATGTGATGGTTGTATTTTAAGGTAGACTTTTCCCTTCCCGCAGTGGACAAGCATCATAAGCAAGGGACAAAAGATAATACTTGCCCCTTTTACAAAACTAAAAGTCGTGAGAGGAATAAAGATCCAGTTCTTTCCAGTCCTTTACTAAAGAAGTAGTCTCATTCAAATCAACAAAATTACTTGGATAAATAATGACTACTTAATTGAATAAGAAGGATGGAATTAGTCTGCTAATTTATGCCTTTAGCACCTTGCATGAAATTATATAGAAAAGTAAACTTTAATGAATTAAAAGGTTTTCAAAATAATTTCAGAATTTTAAGACAGTATTTTTTTCCCTTTGTGTTACAGGTATTGTGTGTCTGCGTGTTAACCGTAATCTTAGGATGTATATTTGGACTGAAGCCAAGTTGTACAAGAGATGGTAAATAATGTGATTGTTGTTAATATTTTGGCCAATTATTTTTTATAACATCATCTTGAAATGATCAGAATAACATCCTGACATTTCAGGGGAAGGGGATTTTGTAGCTGTAATAACTTCAGTTAGATCCAAGTGAATTTTTTTCAGATCACTTATTTGCCAAAAGATGGTGCCCATGCATGACTGAAACTATTTATGAATTTGGGTTGAATGTGGTAAATAATGGAAAAAATTCCAAAAATGTTGAAAAGATTCATTTTGGAATTTCCAAAATGGCATGGAGAGATATTTTGGGGCTAGATTTGCAAGAAGGTTTATGAGCTGTTAAAAAAATTAAGAGGTCAAGGTGCCGTTCCCTCTTTATCTAAGAGCCCTCTGGCTAGTGCAGTCATCTGGGGGCCTGTCTATGCATTGCCGTATTGCGATGTTAATACCGTGACATGTTTAGTACTTGATATGGAGAAATACTAAAACCTGGCGCAGTAGCTGCCCGTACTGTGGCATATGGGTGGCACACTATTAGATTTATTGGCTGCATCTCCATAGCGGTATACTGTAGCAGTGGAGTGCACTGCTATGGCGATATAGCCAGTGATCACCTATTGACATACATGATGGCAGCATCGCCGTAGAGCACCGTATGGTGATGTTGTGTATCACTATGTCACTGTAGGGCAATGTGTAGACATGTCGTGGGAGAAGAAGCCCTCTATCAGTGTCTTCTGATGAACTTGTACTACCTGCATAAAATAATTATTCATAGTGCCAGAGAGAAAAACTGATTCCTAAGCCTGGTGTTTAGAGCACTCACTTGGGAACTGGGAGACCCTAGTTGTAGGCCTCGTTTTGAATCAGAGATTTGAACCTAAGTCTCCTTACTCTTAGGTGAATGCCCTAACCACTGTACTACTGGATAAAATGGGGAGGGGAGTGTCTCTTCTTTCTCAGTTTGCTGAATCGTAGCTAAGTTTACCATTACTTCCTCCTAGGTTTTGTGAATTATGCTTCAGCTCCTCTGCGAAGTTAGACTTTTGTTGCCAAAATTCCTGACCTTTCATTTTAAATTATTATTATTACAAGGACATAAAATTGAGCTGTTTTGATTTAAGTCCGGTGCAGTAAGGATTATAGTATTTTGAGTCCCCAGCCAGCTTCTCATCTCTTCTCCCCCAACAAGTTTTCATTTAACTTTGATCTGAGTTGTATTTTTTTCAGTTAATCATTGAACTGAAAAATCAATCAGCTTTAATCTGAACTACCAGCACGTTAATATGGGAACATTCCTAAGGCAATTCCTTTTGGGTTTTTTAAATTCATTGCGAAGGATCTGATTTTTCCATTATAAACATTTCTTAGATGGGAAGTCTGGAGGTGCTATTCTAGGAACTGGAACAAGTGAGGAAATAGCTTACTTTAAGGGAATGAGTAAAACTTTCTTGAAACTTTCTTTTTAAAATTAGGGCTAGGTTAACTTGTTTTTTTCCAGTGAGAAGTAGATCCAAGTTCACATGCTCTTTTGGCTTGATTCAGGAGACTGAGTCAACTGAAGGTCTCATGTTCCTCAGGGTAGCACCCTAATTACCAGGCTAATAGGGTTATTCTGAGGTTGGTCTCCCTCATTTCCTTCTTTGTGAACAGGTCAAAACACTTAATCATTGAAACAAAGATCAAGAATGGGAATGATTCTCTCTCTTGGTGGTTAGAGTGCCTGCATAGGAGGTGGGTCACATAGGTTCTCAATTCCTGCTGTAATTAATCTTTTATTATTTATACAAATTAGAAAAATATCATGAGATAAGACTGAAAGTTCCTTTATGATGTTAGAAACCTGTAGCTTTCAGATTTCTATGCTAGAGAAGAGAATTAAACAAAGTCTCTCACATCCTCAGTTTGCGTTCTAACCACTAACAGATAAAATAGGACAGCATCTGTATCACTGTTGCAAATCTAGCTCTTCATTTCCGTTTTCTTTCATGCAAATGCCTGAAAATGAATGTTTGGTTGTAGATTGATTGGGGGTTTCAGTTCAGGCACACAAAAGAGTTTCATGTCAGTAAGAAAAAGTAAAACATTTGAAATTGATTTCATCACAATCTGGGTGCATCTAAGTGTTCATTAGTGTGCCATAGTTACTGCACATTAAGTTTACTACTTGTATAATCGAGTACTAAATCAATATGTAGTAAGTGGTGTTACTGCACAGTAGCACCAGCACGTCTTTTTAGTGATGCTCCTGCGCAGTAGCCTAATAATACTGTGTAGTAGCATAGTAGCACTGTTTCTGCTGTGACATGCTACTGTGCAGTATTATTAGGCTACTGCACATATAGCATCTTGTGTACATGTGCACTTTGTTCTTTCATTTTTTTTAACATCTCAATCTACAAAATCAATTCCTTGCTGTGTCTGCTTTAAATTGTGGAATATCTTATCTCTGTCATTCACTGCATTGATTTTTATTATTATTGTTGACCTGTCAATCCAGTATTCCATTTGACATCTAATATTGTCACCTATTCCAGTTAAAACCTGTAAAGGCCGTTGTTTTGAGAGGACATTTGGAAGCTGCCGCTGTGATGCCGATTGTGCCAAACTTGGAAATTGCTGCTTAGATTTTCAGGAGACATGTATAGAGCCAGGTAAGGATGAAGAGTTTTTGGAGGTAGAGGGGCATAATTACACTACTACAGTATGAGGCAACTCCACTATAGGGCAGACAGATCACCAGAAGCTACTGGCATCTTTTGCACCCTGTTTCCTAGACCTGATCTAAGTAGGAAAGTGGTTTAAAAGCAGGTGATTTGTGTGTGTTATTGCTACCACCATTGCTACTGTTTGTGCACTGCAGTGATAACTACTGCTATTATTTTATGTATAGTGGTTCCTGAGGACCCAAAGCAGGTATAGGGACCTATTGTGGTAGTTACTGGGTGCATCTATATAAGATATTTACTGCACAGTTGACTAATTAGCTGTAGCCTAAACATCTTGACGTCTATGCGTGCACCTGTATTAGGTTGAAGTAAACTAATTTGCATAGCAGGATAGTACTTGTATTTCCAAGTGAAATGTATTTACAAGTTCTATCCTGCTGGGGAGTAAAAAACTGCAGCAGCACACGTGCTGATGCTGCCCAGCTGCCCGGGGCACAAGGGTGCTTTAGTGCAGGGGCTGCCTGTTGGCTAGCCCTGCACTGAAGCTCCCTCATGCCCCAACCAGCCCCTCAGCAGCACATTGATCTGAGGTTAGCAGTCCCAGGTTGGCAGGCTGATCCCTGGAGCCCTTTGCCAGCCGGGGCTGCTTTACCTGGGCTCTACATGCTGCATCTGAATAAACTGTGGAACTTATTGCAATTAACTCCAGATCAACAAGCTCCGCAGTTTGCACTGTAAGTGCTTGTGTAGAAATGCATTATACAGAAAAATAACAAGCTTATTCTTGCTCCAGTTGGCTTGCAATCCTAGCAGTATGATCATGGCTCTCTCACAAATCTTCTGCATGCATGTGGAGGTATTGCGTTGTTGATCTGATCTGGCCTTTCACCTGGCCCAGGAAGCAGAATGTATGTCTATATTGCTGCTGTGGTGCTCTTGAGGATATCTTCAGGAATCAGGCCCACAGGCATCTGTGCCTATTCCTCATGTACAGAACCTGGAAATGAGCCTGTGAAGCCCTCTTCTTATCCAGATCTTCTTATCTTCTGCCCTCTTCTTATCCAAATGAATATAAGATTGACAGATGCTGGTCCCCTTCATCATCAGAGCTTCTCAGTTTTTATGTTCCATTTCTCCCCTGCTGGAATACACAGCAGAGGCCACATTCTGACTCAGGTTGTCAGATTGACTGTTCTATCACGTTGTCACAGCCTATGTGGGAGGAGAGTAGAAGAACTGGATAACAAGAGGAACAGAATTTAGCAGAAAATCTACAGTCACTTCTCAGCCCCACTTATTCTTATTTTCAGAAAAAACAATAGTTTCTAGATTCATGCACTGAAGGTGCTGCTCTCTATTTCAGTATTTCATCTTTAAGTAAACATCCACAGATTGATGGTTTTAAACCCAGACAGTTCAACTGACCTCAAACTGCTTCTGCAGAGAGCTTTAAACACTTTCTAAACTGCATTTATCTTACACGTTTCTGATTATTATTGTAAGCTTATATAAATTAATTCCCCATGCCTGCACCCCACTCATTAGCTTACTTGAATTACTTTAGTTAAGTGAGAGCCAGAAAAATGTTTTTTGCCATTAATTCTATAGGTCCAAGTTGTAGTCTCCCTCGCAAAAATGCAAGTTTAGAATTGGGCGAGTTATTCCAGACCTATACCACTGACTGTGAGAAGAGAATCCGGTCCATAATTATCAACCTCCTAACGACTTTGTTGGAGCAGGAAGAGGAAATTGCTACTCTTATTAATGATCAGATATGAAACTAGCTAACAATGTCTTTACACAGAGATAGTCTTTGCCTCTTCCACAGCTAATGCCTTTACCAAGCAAATGTGCTCTAGTGAAGTATCACATATTTAATCCCATTGACTTCAAGATGTTTGCTTGAGTTTACAGTTTAGCATGTATATCCAATATTTATCGAAGGAGTGTCTTCAAATGTTATTGTGCATAGAAGTATTGTGTTGTAAAATAGCAGTATGTTCTCTGATTTATGGAAAATAACTTTACTGAAGTCAGAGATTCAGCTAATGTCAGTAGGCCATAAGACTGAACTTGTGTGCTATCTCAAATATCAATGGAAATAAGTATATGCTTATTAAGTGTTCCTTGAATCAAGGCAAGAATCAATGGTAACATTTTTCTGAGTAACTTAAATGAGAGCCAAGCTAGCTTTATAGTTTATTGGTTTTGTCTAAGTATTTCAGGTGTGGGTTTTGGTTTATTTTCTTTTCATTTTTTAAAATAATATTTACTAGATTAAATGAGTTGGCTATGAAAGATAAACTTGTCACATTTAAAGAAATCCATTAAAGGAGTCTTTTGTTGGTTTTTACTGGTCTGTGATAGATAACCATATGCTGAGTAATTGCATGCAGATGTTCATGCATCTGGGTTATTGTTTAGATATGGGTGTTATTACTTTCTGAAAGGCCCAAATCTGCTGTGTTTCTGCATGTGAGAGACACTTCCAAACTCTTTGCATATTCATTGGGGAACAGAATTTCATCCTACATTTCTCAATTAGTTATGTATTTAACTTAGAAATAAAAACGGTACTCTCTCTGCATTTAATTTTGGGTTGTAGCTCATATATGGACCTGCAATAAATTCCGGTGTGGAGAAAAGAGGCGACCTGAGTATCATTGCTCCTGTTCAGATGATTGTGTGGAAAAAGATGATTGTTGCTTGAATTACTATGCAATTTGCCAAGGTAAACACTCATTCTGCCAACTTCTTAATACACAGAATTTGCTTGTCTGAAGGAGAGAACATAAAAGTTATGCCGTGATATTAATTATTAATATTCTAGGTCCTAATAATGCCTAGGCCCTAACAATGCAGTGCCTAACTAAAACAATTATACCAGTTATTAATGGCTGAGTTGCTAATGGTTGAGTTATTAATTATAGCAGTTATTAATGGTTGAGCAGTTATTAAAAGTTGGTCTGGCCAACTTTTTATTATTAGCTGCTAAGTTCTTGCTATTACAATTATAGTAAGTAATAGTAAGCCACCTGATAAATCCTCACTCGTTCTGATGTTGTGAAGGCTGAATACAGTTTTTTAAAACATAAATAACCATAGAACCGATACATTTAATTTAATATTAAAGCTATATTATATTCCTTTGGACTAATTAACCTTAAACAGCAACAAATAGAAAACATAAAATCATTTGAACTAATTGAGAAGGAATATATCAATCTCTGAAAAATAATCTATGCTCTTGTGTTTTAAGGAGAAAAAAGTTGGGTGGAAGAAAAATGTGAGAACATTAATGAATCCCAGTGTCCAGCAGGGTAAGGATAGTCTCTTTGTTTAAGTGTTCAAATTTAATTATTTTTAAAGTTAACATTTATCTCCATGAAAAAATGCCCATATCATCAGGAATCTTTGAGTGACAATGATCATTTATTATAATTTTACAACTTCCAAATGTCTTCCAATAACATTACAAATATAGATATTTCCAAAAGCTTTCCCTTGATAAAGGGTTTGGTGTACAAGAACCATTTATTTGCCACCTTCCTTAACTACTGAATCTTACAAAGTGAATACCTTCTATTTCCATCTCACCATACATGAATTAAGGTAATACAGTCTTCATTATGGTAAAATGATAGATATTCCCTACTCATAAACTAAAAATAATTATGCCTTATGGGTCCAGTTTGGTTTCCATTTAAGTCAGTAGAAGTTTTGTTCTTCATTTCATCTAGAGAAGAATTTCCTATGCAAGAGCCAGCCAAGGGTCTGATGCACAAATATCTAATCCCATCATGGGCAACACAACACCCAGAAAAAATGTCCATTTTTTGTCTCAGGTTTTCTCAGACCACATCTCCCTAGAATTGCTCTAGTGGGGCTGTGAGAAAATCCATTCGAGTATAATTTGGGGGCGGGGGAGCAATGATTATTTCTACTTCATACCCTGTCATTCCTGGTTGCAGTATGTGAATCGCATACATGTGACTCACCTGCAGCCTGGCACCGTGTTTGCACCCTGTTTTTGGGGGAGGCGTTTACCAGAGACTGCTGGGAAGCCCAGAGAGATTGTCTCTTTTACAGTCTCTTTCCTTGCCAGAGCAGAACAAGGAAAAGGCAAACAGAAGCATGATGAATGCAGGTGGCACCAGCAGAAAGTAGCCCTGTTGGTGAAGCCAGGAAATGAGAAACCTCAGTGGTAAATAGCTCTCCTCATTTTGGCTAAGTACAGCCAGTCAAAAAGCCTGAGCCTGAATCTATTCAGTCTTTGCAGGTTAGGCCAGACTGCACAGATTACACTGAAGCAGAAGTGAACACACATTTACCTTTGATTCAGGAAATGCAGCCACATGCCTGCAGTGGCTCAGGCCAGAAGCTGGGGGGCACTAGAGCACGGCTTTCTGACCCCCCGTTCACTTCCTCTTCCTGCTGCCCCCAAGGTCTCTGGGATTTGCAGTCCAGAATCACAGCAGCAGGACTCTGCAGGGTTGCTCATCATTTCCTCTTCCTGCTTTCAGGTGCCTGTGAGATATGTAGTCCACAGTCACAGCCAACAGTAAGTTTGAATGGGGGAAGGGGTGTTTAACCCCCACGTCTGGCTCCAGACCTCAGCCAGGGTTTGCCTAGGGGGGTACAGATCCTCCCACCCCCATAGACTAGGCTGCATCCCCAGCCAGGCTGCCCCCCCCCACCTCCTTGTCAGCCAACTCTCACTGCTCTACCTAGCAGTAGACAGCACGGGAAAGCTAGGGCTGGAAAGCATGTTGGGATACTCTGATTTAATTTGAACCAGGAAGGGGTCTGGGTAGGGTGGCCATCATAGAGGACATTCCTGTTTTTTGCTACTCTGTCCTCTATTGATATGAAACCTGATGCCTTTATATCCTTTATTCTTCTCTTCAAGAAACCTTTATGTCCTCTATTTTCTCTCTTCCAGAGAAAAAATAGAGGACATAAAGGCATTGGGTTTCGTATCAATAGAGGACATAGGACAACCAGACCGTCCTTTATATTGGCTACCCTAGCATCTGGGAGAGAATTTTCATAAATTGGTTTGACCCAGTTCAGTTAAGTCTGATACTACATTCAACCAGGTTTATCTTAAATCAGTTTCAGCCATTTTGAAACTGGTTTATGTGCACTGAACGTCTGTTCTGTTACAGGTTTAAACCAGTTTCTGATCACTTAAACCTGTTTATGTATAACTTCTGTCCCTAGTCTTTGGGTCTCTTCTGACTCTTTTTTCCACAATTAGACTTTTTGCTTTCTACCCAAACTCAGCCTAGTAAACTCTCCCACTGGGAGAGCCCTTGTTTCCTAGACAGACTCCCCAGTCCCTAGGCAGCCCTCAGCTGCCATCTCCCCTGAGCCAGATAGAGCTGCTTCCCCAAATATCACCCACCCATGTACCTCTGCACTCCCAGATATCCCAGAACCCACTTACCCTTAGATTCAGCCACCTCTGACAAGATCCAACTAGGCAGCACTCCAGAATGCCAGCAGTCTTAGACACCTGCTAGTACAGTCTATTTATCCCAGCACATCTAGGTAGTTTCCCACCTCACTACTTGCCCCAGCCCTACAGTTGTAATGTTATTGGTTGATCCTTCTGAGCTTTTTCTAAGGGGAAAGAGAGTGCAACAGCAAAAGCCAACTGGTTTCAGTGTTTCCCTGGGTTCACTGTCATTCCTGGGTTTGTGGTCACATGTGACATGCTGTTTCTCTGGCTTCCAGAGAAGTAAAATTTCCCTAATGATTTCCCAGTAATAAATACCATCACACAAACACATTTTTCATATTCCTTTTGCTTCTCCTGAGACAATGGTCCTGTGTGGAAGGCCGGGAGGGTGTGATTTGAAAATTATCTAAAATGTGGAAATTGCATCCTGAACCAGTGATTCTCAGCAAGGTTGCCATGTCACCAAGGGGTATCTTGAGATCCTTTCAAGGGGTCCCCACGGGGGCCTCTCAATGTTATCGGTGTTATGTGTGCAAATATGATTCACAAGATTAAACCCACAGATTTCAAATAGAAATTAAGACATTTTGACTTTTTATGATCTTTCTGAGTTCTTTGCAGTACAAGAATAGCTTTATTATTTTTCTGTGGCCCAAAAACAAGTAATAATGGGGAGCTGAAATTTTCCAAAGGGTGCCTTGAGTTTAAAGAGATGTCTCTTCAGTCTAGAAAGGTTGCCACCACCTTAAATAAAGAACATAAAATGTCACATGCAATGATGCTGAGAACTTACCAGCCATGTTTATTAACAATTTCTTATGTTGTAGATTCCACCATTGTAAGATGTTTAATGTTCTCTAAGCTTTCAGGACCAAGTCAAATCTGGCAATAAGTAAAGCTAATTTTGAAATATTAGAAGAACCTCAGCAGTGCGTCTGCAGATTATTTACTTGATATTCTGTAATTTTGCCATTGACATGCATTTTGGGATTTACTCTTTGCTAGGAGCACTGACTTCTGAATCCGAAACAGCTGCTTTATATTTCTGATCAAGATACGATCTACATAGGGTTGAGATCGTTGTCTAAATGGTCTACAAAGTCAAATATGAAGTCAGGAGATTGTTTTTTCTCTCAAAAATCACATTCACAAACCCTGAAGTACCATTTGCTGTTACCGGCAGGTTCTGGCATTGGGATCTAATGTGGGTTGGATGTCAGTTAGTTCTTGTCATGCTCTTTCTGAAAATGGTATACTTCTTAATGCAATTCTTTGTCCATTTCTTCCAAAATTGTTCCTATTATGTGGAATATGTAATATCAAATATTTAAATGCATTTGGAAAATGCAGCATAACTGTTGGAAAACACTTAACTGACCTTTATAAATACGCAATAATTAGAATTTGCCTTTCACACTGGCAAATCAGTGACGTCAGTAGAGCTCACAATATCTCTAAGATGGCATGTGTACTCAGTGACCATATGGCATGTGGCTAGGACTCCACATTGGACCTGATTTTTGCATTCTTCATGCTGATTACATTCACATTGTTAGGGAGTTAGGCTGCAGACCTGTGACATCAGCAGTGGGAAAAAAAGATCTGCATGTCAAGTATGTTTTTGACTGAAATTATCAAATTTATCTTTAAATTGAAGAGAACTGTAAACTATGGCAGGTTTACATTGGATTATTACCTTTGCCTGAAGGGGTCCCAGATTGTGCTGACTGAAAAATTTGAGATTGCACAATTTTCTGGCAAAGTACAGCTTTGTCAAAGTAGTGATATTCTGCAGGTATTAGTTGATTTCAAGTAAATCGTTGATGGAGATGTATAAAAGCTTTTCACATTTTTATTTTGATAATGTTGAAATGTTTTATTTTGATGAGGCCAAAACATTTAATATCAATTTTATCATTTTATTTAATTTGCTTTAGAAATACATAGTTCATGTGTCAGATATAGTGTCTTGGCATTATTGAAACAAAAGGTTTTTACATTATTGGAAAGAAACATTTTGACAAAAGCTATTCTATGTAAGTAAAATATTTCAGTTTTTCCTAATTGATCTTTTTAGAATGTTCTGTTTTAATGTTTGTAATTTCCTGCAAGTCGGAATATATGGTTTCTATTTAGCTCTAATTTTAAAGCTCTGCTGTTTCTCGTTGTGCCAGGGAGGTGCTTGGTTGAGCCAGCTGTCAATCTGGAGGCTTGAGGGTAAATTTCTGTTCAGGGTTTAGAGGCAACTCAAGACAGTTGCTCCCAGCTGGAAATGAACTGCATACTGCTGAATTCTACTATTTAAATGAAGGGATTGTCACCCTCAGTACTAATTGAAAGGGAAAGCAATAGCATAACATGGAAGAGCTACCATTTATGATTTCTACTTTTTCTCCTCGGGTTTTGAGTTCACAGCATGGAAGAATAAGCATCTAGAGTCTTTTACGAGAATGGTTTCCATTTGGGTTAAACCAGAAATTCTGGTTCAGTGGGCTGGATCTGGCCAACAGCCAGAGATTGCTGACTTGTGGTATAGTCGCTGGCAGTGCATGAAGCTTTTTTGGCCAATATGCCAAAGAGTTCCAGTCCTGTTTTAGAGATACAGAACAAAACAGGGTGGGATAATAAATGCACCTTTATGTGCAGTTGATTTTTGTCATCTCTGCTAAGACATCTAACAGGTGATAATAAATTTAGCATCCGTAAAACTAGAAGCATGAGTCCAAATCCCTGAATATCTTAGAAATCCACATTAATGTGAATTTCCATCCGTATCAGGCCACCCTAAGATTAGTTGTATGATGGTTCAAACTGCTACTAAAACCGATTTAGCTGAACTATTTCTAAAGTGTCTGTAAAACATTCCCAGTGAAGACGTGGCTCTATTACCTAATTAATCTTCAGTTGAATAACACTGTATTTTTGATACCAGCTAAAAGGAGTTTAATAGAATGATTTAGATGTAAGCATTGTCTCATATCTTACCAAGCGCATTATCAGCCCTTTCCAAATAATCAATAATGGGCTTGAAATATGTTTTTGTCATTTTGCCATGTTCTGGCTTTATAAGATGAGGTGGAAAGATGATGCACCTTACAGTATTTCAATGGTATTTGGGTACAGCACCTGTACATAACTTCCCATTAAATCTCTTTTCTCAGTTAGTCTGTAAGGTGAAATTTACCCTGCTTTCTACTTACATCTAAACTTCAAGACCTGGAAGATTTCAAGCAAAACTTTTTGAATAGATGCCAGGAAAACTGTTGATTAACTAATTACTTAATTTCTAATTGTTCAGGTTTACAAAACCCCCACTCTTACTGTTTTCCTTGGATGGCTTCAGAGCAGAGTATTTGCGTACATGGGGTGGACTTCTTCCTGCTATCAGCAAATTACGTAAGTAACTTCTTTGTCACGTGGCAATTTGTTAGACAAGGCTTTCCATGAAAGTTACAAATTCTTGCCAGTAAAAAGGATGGTGATTGCATAGCAAATGGTGCTCTTAGGGCTCTGGCAACTCTTTATTTTTGTAGTGCTACAAATTTTGTATAGGGTACAGTAACAGTTAAGGCTGCTGGTATGATAGTCATTTAAGTCAGTTAAATAATGGGTCTCCTCCCAAACCAGGTCTGTAGCTTAATAGATGTGGCAGACAATTTACATTTCATTTCTACTTTATCTAGTTTATTAATAACTAGCATGTTATTAATATGAAGAATTATAGACATAAAACAGTGCTAGTTCAGAGATAAGAGAGTGTGATTTTACTTTATGTGGGCCATGTCTACACAAGATGCTTACTGCGCAGTAGCTCATTACTACTGTGCCATAGCATTGCTGGGCATGAACTGTGGTGTGATGCTGCAGCACAGTAGTAATGAGCAGTTCAGTTCAGTAAGCATCGTTAGGTAACCTTGCTGGTTACTGTGCAGTCATTTAGTACTTGGTTATACAAGAACTAAATGAATGAGCAGTAACAACTGCGCAATCAGCATCTCATGTAGACATGGCCACTATGCGCCAAGACCACTCTTAAATTGAGACAAAAATCGCAGTTGCATCTGGCATCTTGCAGAACACTTTAATGTATGTAATTTTTACACATCACTGGCATTCGTAGGGTTTGTCATATTGTAAAGTTTGAAAACATACAAATGTGTTTACAAAGTGAAGGCCTGAATGCCCAGTTGGCAGCCAGTGCCTTAAAGTACACAAAGAACAGTGCAGGATAGTTGGTTCTGGCAGAATCCTTAGAACAACTGAACACATTTGTTTGACAATTGATGGGAAACTGTCAAATGCGTTCAGTTTTTCAGGGCACATTTAACCACCTGTAGCCCGCATTGTTGTCCTGTTGGTATTCACGAGATTTTCCTTAATATTAATGACTTAATATATAATTGGAACTTGTTGGTTTCTCTCTTTTCTAACTTTACATTTTTTCTCCTTAGAAAAATGTGGAACATATACTCCCAGCCTGATACCTGTCTATCCAACAAAAACATTTCCCAATCATTACTCCATTGTCACAGTAAGACCATTTTATGGCTTTTTTCCAGGAAGAGATATTGTTCAGCGTTAATAATTTCCAAGGGAAATAGAAGTTTATTTTTTATGGATTATCAATATATCTAGGAAGAATATTTAAGAATTCCTCAAAGTAGAAGTCACACGTATTCTTTTCTTATTTTGACTATGGCTTGGGGTATGATAGTAACCATATTAAACTGCTATTTTGTGGTTAGATTAAATTGATCCAAATAAGTAATACCTATTGTTGAGTACCAGCTGCAAGAATTTCTATTGGTTCATAAATTGGTATACTCCTTCACCTTGTCTGATACAGTCACACATTTGGCCATTGGGATAGGAACAGACTAATTTCTCTGAGATGTCATCTTTGTTCTCCTTCTTTAGAACAGAAAAAGTGGTATGAAGTAGAGAGGGGTCTGCAATCAATATAGAAATGTGAATATCTCACAGATTCTGTGTGGGGGAATAATTGAGATTATCTGGGATCTGGTACAAATACAACCCAAAGGGTAGAAGCCTCACAAAATCTGCTCTTGTAAGGTTTTTCTCCTTTGAGTGTATTATACTGGAGGAAAAATAAACCAGTTAATGAAACCTTCCAAAATTGAATTGCCTCTTAACCTTCAGTTCACCACCAAACTCTTTCTGGCTTATAGCATGCAGAATTTGGAAATTCTGAATGGATTTACTGACTTTCTTGTCTATGTTGTTGTATCTTTGGGGATAGCAGGAGGCAGGTCAGTTGCAAAGTTCTTGCATTTTACGATTATTAAATTTCTTTAATCCTTTTGCATTTCCAAGTTCAAGAATGTGACACAGAGATAATCTTGCCCAATGACTATATAACAGTGACCTCAACCCCAGCATTCTGCCCTGCCATTGCCTCAGTTGCTTCACTTTGATACACGCTAGGAGAGCCAATTCAGTGAAGTTGCATATGATTTTAACATACAGTCTGAAAAACAGTGCAGTACCTTTATGAGAAGCTTCAGTCAGTATTTTAGCCTGGCAATAGCAATGGAAGGTGATGCTGTTAAATCACTCTAACTTGTTGAACCGATAGAGTCCAAAATATGTATGTACTCTAGAAACAACTTTTTAACAATGACACAATCTTAATTACAGGGGCTGTATCCTGAATCCCATGGTATAATTGATAACAAGATGTATGACCCAAAAAGAAATGCTTCCTTTACACTTAAAAATGCAGAGAAGTTTAATCCACAGTGGTACCAAGGAGAGCCTGTAAGTATTTATAAGTAAAATATTGCTGCCAGACACACAAGAGCCAGTTATGTCATATACTTGTTTCTCCTGCATACAGGGTGATAATACGATTCAAGGTCACAGGGAATGCTACCCCGCCAGCCAACAAACATTGCTCAGCATAACTACTTGATTATATTGTTGTATTGTAAAATGGAAAATTAAACTGTGAAATGGATGCTAAAGTAGCTTAAATATATCTGCATGATATGAACTTTACTGTAGTTTTTTCCATAGAGATATTATGTTGAGTAAACAATGAAATAAACTAGCATGTCTTTACTAATGAAGATCCTTCATTCAGATTAATTATCTTGGCAGTTCCTTCAAGTTCAGAATACTTTTATTTTTCTTCTATATTTTTCCTGAAAAATGGGTGGCAATCTGCTTCTGCAACTGTTATATCATATCATAAAAAGCCATCCGGTGGTCCCCACCCTTCAGCTGCAGCAAACGTAAATGTTGACACTCTTCCTTTTTACTTGGAGAATAAGATATTAGAAATAAATAAAACAACAACTCGCAATTGTTTGTGCCTATTCTTTCTTCTGTGCCTTTCATTACTGTTGTTTCTAGCTATTACTTTACCACCTTATTCAATCCATTTCTGTTTGCCCTCTCCTCATTTTTTATTAGTTTCATCCACTTCATGCTCTCTCTCAAGATGCTGCAGAATTGTTAAAAATTCAAAAATCATGATTTGGGCCACAAAAATTATCTTGGCCTTCTGGGGCAAAGGAGAAAAATGTTTATACATATTTCTTATGACAAGCAAACTTTCAAATGTTGAAGATTGCCATGATGTTCTCTTGTTATCCTCCTTTTTTCCATCTGAAGTTCTCTTATCTTTGCTTTATTATAGACCTTGTTTTTCAGCTGCTTTATGTTTATAGTCTTCTATAAAGTGCAATGCCCAAATTGGATATTGTGCTTAAGCTGAGGGCGACTAATGCCAAATAAAGTAATATAGTCACCTCCCAGGTCTTGCATATACTGCCTCTGTTAGTGCAACCCAGGTTTGACCCTGCCAAATGTCACAGAGTCAGAAAAAACAGTTTTGAGATATACATTCACACAGCTATTTCAAAGACCTTCACAATTATTTTTTTTTATTTCATAGATCTGGTTGACAGCTATGTATCAAGGTCTAAAAGCTGGCACATATTTCTGGCCAGGATCAGATGCAAAAATTAATGGAACTTTTCCAAATTTGTATAAAATATACAATAGGTATGTAAAATGACTATTTTGTGGGAAGGGCAATAAATTACATATAATTATATATACTGTGAAGGATATTCTTCCTTCTTTCCTGCTTTGGCTCAGCTTTTTCAATATGATAGAATCCAGAGAAGAGTAAACATGTCTGATGGCTTACTGTTATGGTCCTGCAAGGCTGTAAAAAAAAAGAAAAGAAAAGAAATGCTCATTAGCAGAGCCTGTATTTTATATTCTGCATATTGTATGCCTGTATAAGGAACCATGCATGTATCCTGTACCATGCGGTACTGGTGAAAGCTGTTCTGCTATAACTGTTGTATTTCCACCCACCTAGAGTGGTACAAGTTGAGTAAAACTATGGTAACTGTAACCCTGATTCATTCAAGGTGAAGATTACAGTGATTTAGCTCACTTATATTACTATAGGTGAGCTTGCATATTAGGGCTGTGTGAAAGGGCTATCTTTTGTTTCAGTTTTGGAGGGGTAGTGATTCATTTCAGGTTTCAGATCACTGTCCCGTTTTGATTCTGCCAAATCTGTTTTGGAGTTTTGACGCTGTTTCGGCCATAGGCTATAATGAGGAATTACTAAAATGCCTATAACTTTGTCATTTCTTGCTTGATTCAGATGAATATTGCCAGGATGGTAGCCTGACAAGTTTCAAGGAGATAGGTGCAGGGGTTTTTATGAAACTGTACCTCAAACTGTTCAAAGCAAAACTGCTGTCATCCCGCACACAGATCCAGGGACCAGCGCCTCCCAGGAAGAGTCCAGCACAGCCTTGCAGCCCTCCTGAGGGGTGCAGGCCCCTGGATCTGTGTGCGGGAGAACAGCAGGCTGCTGCTGCCAGCTGGGGCCAGCGCCAGCACTGGGTTCTTCCTGGTGTGGGCTGCGCTGGGCAGACTTGGGTGCTGGTGCTGGCACTGGCATTGGCCCCGGCTGGCAGCAGCAGCCTGCTGTCATCCACATGTTTCACAGTCAGTGATTGCAGAGCTTAAAAAAAAAAAAAAAGCCCCGCACTCACTGGATGCAGCAGCATCAATTGAAGCCTCTGGTGGCTTGTAGGAAAGCCCCCCCACACAATGCAGGGCAGTAGGGATTGCCTCCCTGCCTGGCACTCACACAGCAGCTGCCCCATGGTGGGGGTTCAGTGTGACTCGGCAGGGTGCTGTGTACTGTCTGGGAGCTGGGGCATCTCCACCTGTCAGCTGGAGCTCCTAGTCTGATTCCCCAGCTCTCTGATTGCTTCCTCCAGCTCTCTCATCATTCTCCCAGCTGTTCCCAGGGGGTGCAGGCCCCTGGATCTGCATGTGGGATTTCAGCAGGGTGCTGCTGCTGGCTGGGGAAATAGCTTGGAGCCACAACCATCCCCAGCTAGCAGCAGCCTGCTGTCATCCTGTATGCACACCTGGGGGCCTGTGCCCCCCAGGAAGAGCTGGGGGAAGGACCGGGGAGCTGGGTAATCGAACCAGGAACTGGGGGAACGTTCAGGGACGAACATTCCCCCAACTCCTAGTTGGATTCCCCAGCTCCCAGTTTGATTCCCCCAGCTCTCTGATCAGTTCTGCAGCTCTTTCTTGTGGGCGTGGGCCCCTGGAGCTGTGTGCCAGTTTCAGCAGGCTGCCCCTGCAGGCTGGGGCCAGTGGCAGCACCACAGGCTTCCTGGTGTGAGCAAGCTGCTGCCTGCAGCAGCAGCCTGCTGAAACCCCTCACACAGATCTGGGGGCCCGTGCCCCCCGGGAAGAACTGGGGAAGTGATCAGAGAGCTGGGGAATTGAACCGGGAGCTAGATATCAATATCAGAGCAGTCCTTCCTACCCTCTCCCTCTTCTTAGTTTTTGGTTCCCTGTAAACCCAGCTCCAAAATTCTGAAATTCTTTGAAACATTTCTGAAATGTTTTGGAGCCTTCCATTTTGATTTGGATTCTGTGTTTTGGGTGCTGAAATGGCCTGAAACACCTCTGAAATAAAACGGCTGCCAAAATTTTGCACAGCCCTATTGCACATATAACAGTTAAATTGGAATAATTGGTGGCATCTGAGGAATTACAATCTAGATGAAAGCTGCTGTAGTAAGGTGCATAAAGGGTTGGATTAGTGTTCAAAGTGGTTGGAAGCCTAATTGGGAGGAAGTCGAGGGGTTCCACAGGCACCCGTCCAGTATCTTGTAGTATTCAATAACTTCATTAAAGACTTGAGGATAGAATGAATTGCATACTTGGTCCATTTGCAGGTGACACCAAGCTGGGTGGAGCTGCAGACACTTTATAGGATAGGATTATGATTAACAACAAGAAATTAGCAACAAGAAATTGACAGAGGTCTAGGAAGCATGACTTGAAAGAAAAGGTTGGAAGAACTGGAAAAGATGGGGTGATCATAGGCTGATCTTGTGTTGATTATGACTTCCAGTTGGCTAGGAATATGGGCTGCATCCTTCCTTCTCCAGCTGGGTGTACAAGGACATTTGGAATGCCTCATGTAGCTTAAGGCACTACTTCATTAGCAACCAGTGCTCTAGATCTGGTAAAGGTATAGCCAAGTTTATGTCAATGATGCTTGTTATCGATATGCTTTGGAAGTTTTATCCTGGATTTCAGTTAGTCATTTTATCACGAATGTAACAGGTGGGCTCACACTGCAAAACTCAGGTTGATAGAGTATAAGAAAGAAAGCCTCAGGCTATTTGAGCATTCCTGCTGAAATCAACAGGGCTATTTGAATGAGGAAGGCCAGCAAGATTTAGGGCCTTATGCAAAGCCCATAAAAATCAAAAGAGATGATCCTGTTGAGTTGGTAGGCTTTATATTAGGCCCTGTGCCTTCTACTTGTAAAATTTGCCATTAAGACCTACATATAAGTGATTTTGATTGATTTAGTTGGTATTTATCAGAGCTTTATTCTAGCCAAATGATTTCATTTTTATTTGTGTTGAAAGCAAGGCTGTGAATATTGCTTTGGTCCTTTGAATTATATTTGATATTTCATTGTTCTGATACAGTTCAATCCCATTTGAGGCAAGGGTGACAACTATTCTTCAGTGGTTGAAGTTACCTGAAGAGGAAAGGTAGGTATGAAATTGTGAATGTAAAGCTCCCATTTCCCAGTTAAACCAATGAAATATGAATGAATAAATATATTACAATATAACTACCATTTATACTTAATGTAATACCCTGTGCACTATTTTACCATCTTCAACAATTAAATTAACTTAAACTTGTTAATTGTCTTTCTATCCCTCCATTAAAATGTTCCCTTTCTTCTGATGCACAGTTTTCTAATAGTTGCTATCCATTGTTGAATTAGTCTTTTCAAACTGTGTTTCAATATGTATGTAAAATATTACATTTTTGGTGCCGTTTGATATAGACCACACTTTTACACTCTGTATTTAGAAGAACCTGATACCTCAGGCCACAAGTTTGGACCAGTCAGCAGTGAAGTAAGTAACTCCCTGTAAAAGCTCTGTACTAAGTGTTGAGTGTGTAAAGCATGTTAGATAAATGGCCATAAACAGGAATTCTTAACATACTTAGCAGAACACAGACTTTGCAATTAGAAGAACAGTGAACACTGTATAGAGTAAAGGGCCTTTAATAAATTTGCTATTGAGGGTGTTAATAAATTATCAGATTGTCTTTTGGTTATAATAAAAATTGTAGATGCACATGGGAATATGTAGCCCTCACTCAGTTCATATGCTAATTTCTGGAAAATTTCAGAAAGGAAAAAGAAAGCAAATGATTTTCATGGCCATTTTCAGTTTAGGAAAAGCTGTGTTTCATTTTAAAAACGTTTTGAATGAAACCTGTTCAACTTTAGTTCTAGTACAATTACTATTCATATTGTAACTGGCACTCCTGCTGGCAATGTCAGTGAAAGAATTAAGTGAATGTGGAATTAAATGGTCATATCCCCTTCACTACAAGAAGGCAACTTTAGAGAAGAGTGTAGTGCTGCAGAGGCTGGCAATACCACTGTGGGTGATGTAACCATTCTATAAACAAAGAGGAATCCTTACGATCTGGGATAAGTTACTCCTCTTGAGAGCATAAAATACATGCAGTTGTTGACACCACAAACTAGAAGGGGCCAGGAGGAGGGAAAATAATTTGGTGGTTTAGGAAAGGCAGAGTATTATATTATCTTGAGTTTGGAGACATTTTTGGCATCTAACTTGGCAAATGAGCTCTGCCAGCTTCCCTTGAGACAGTCTGCACCCTGGCTTTGTGCCAGTGCTGGAGGATCACATGGTTCTTTATATGGATATTTAACAAAGAGCCTTCATAGCAGCCACCGTATCCTAAAAATGTCAAACTCTATTGCCATTACCTTTTGTTAGTGATGAACCTGTGGTTATGTATTGTAAAAAGTACTCTGAGGATAAAAACTGTTGTAAAGACTTCCAGCAGCTTTATCACATATTGCTTCAACCTTTACTCACACTGAGCAGAGTAAATTATGCAACTGGTCTTATTGAATAATAAGTTGAATACAAAAACTAGTTAGTTGCATTGATTACCTAGGTATCTATTATTTTTTGCAAGTAGTCCTACTCAGTCTGTTGCCACTAGCAAGGTGCCAAGTGTGAATAAGGAAGAGAGAGTTGAGTCATAAAATGGCATATTTGGTAGGTACAGCCAAGTTTTCAAAGCTTGGTTCTAACTAATAACACTTTACATTTTTATTTAAGCTACCAGTCCAGCCTTGGGAATTTCTAGTTAAAATAATCCAAATGGCAAAGTGTATAAATTAAGCGAAGGTGGAATTTCTTATATTGACTTTTTAGACAAATAGAAAGCAAATAAATCGTAACACCCAGAGATGAAAATGTGGGTGGGACTTTAAGTCCTTACTCGTATAAAAATCAACAAGGAAGTCTATAGGAATATTGATGTGAACAGAATATCTGTTTGCTGAAAGAGACCTTTAATGGACACATGGACAATATATTGTACTATACTTTTAAATCAACTTTTAAATTTCAAAATAGGTCAAATTAAATGTTAAATTTGTCAGGAATGAATGTATTTCTGATGGAAATGTTTAATGTTAGTTTTATAGCATGATGTAACTGTTTTGCAGGTCATTCTTGCATTACAGAGAGTGGACAGGATAATTGAGATGCTGATGGATGGTCTCAAACAAATGAATTTGCATAAATGCCTAAATATCATCCTTGTATCTGATCATGGTAAATTTGATTTCATAATTTATATTCTTACAGTGAGGTGACATTATTTTTTCATTTTTTACTACAGAAAAATGTCCTAACCTGGTCTGTATTTATATTATTCTTTCTTTGTAAAAGAACCTTAAAATGATTGTAACTAATAGTTTGCAATGCCAGAGTGGTATAGAGCATCTTTAGTATAACTAAGAATCAGTGTCCTTATTTTCTGGTTTTAGAGCTGGAGAGGTTGGGATGAAGCTATTTTTTTTCCGTTGCACATTTTTATACATAACTCCCCTTTTCCCCATTACCAGCTTCCTTGAATTCAAAGTAACAGACTTCATTTTGACATTGTTGACATTTATTATTATTTTAATTAATTAAAACTGCCTTCTTAATTGTTACAGTCCTGTGTATTTATACTACCTGCATAGGATAAAGTAAAAGCCACAGGCATGGCATTTTTTCCATTAGCTGCCCCAGATTGCAAAGCTATACCTATGAAGCTGAAGTTCCTGACAGCCCAAAAGTGAAAATTATTCACTCTATCAGACTCCCAAATAACCATATATATTTTTTCTTTACACATGGATATTTTATTGTACTTTTCTACTGCCAACCCTAATTAGGATGTTTATACAAGCTGTAAAAGGGTAGATGGATATGTACATTACGACTGCACACTTCCTTTCCTACTATTTAGATATTTTGTTCTGGCTGATAATTTGTCCCGGAAGGGTATATGTTCCATTTCTAGAAATCAGCTATGTATCTCCTTAAAAAGAATACTGAATATTTCTATCTGCCTTTTGAATAACTTTTATTTCCCCTTTCAGGAATGGAAGTAGCTAGCTGCAGAAAAACAGCCTATCTGAGCACATATCTGGACAATGTGAATGATTTCATGATTGTGGCAGGCCCCGCAGCTCGCTTGAGACCAATTAATGTTCCAGATGAGTATTTATCTTGTATGTAGTTGCTAACTAATCTGTGTCATTAGAATATGTATTTTTATACATTTAAACAATTGAAATAGGATTCATACATGCATAACGTACGAGAGAATCCCGCAGAGGGCAACAAAAATGGTGCGGGGGCTGAAGCACATGACTTACGAGGGGAGGCTGAGAGAAGTGGGCTTATTTAGTCTGGAGATGAGAAGACTGAAGGAGGATTTAATAGCCGCCTTCAACTACCTGAAGGGTGCTTCCATAGAGGATGGATCTAGACTGTTCTCAGTGGTGGAAGATGACAGAACAAGGAGCCATGATCTTATGTTGCAGCAAGGGAAGTTTAGGTTGGATATTAGGAAAAACTCTCAGTAGGACAGTGGTAAAACACTGGAGCAGGTTACCCAGTGAGTCTGAGTACTCTCCATCCTTGGAGGTTAAGACCTGGCTAGACAAAGCCCTTGCCTGGGGTGATCTAGTAGGGGATGGTCCTGCTTTGAGCAGGGGGTTGGACTAGATGACCTCCTGAGGTTCCTTCCATCCCTAATTTTCTATTTCTCAGACTCAGTGCTAGCTGAGGGCTACTAGGATTGAGGAAAATGATGATATATAGACGTATAAATCTGCTTTTAAAGGGGTTCCTGCCTTCAGGAATGCTTGGCTGTGCAAGACTGTCTATGTCTGTATTTTATGAACACATGTTGTCATTCAATACAATGTTGAAGCATCAGCTGTTGCTATTTCTTCCCTTTTGTTTTATGCATGGCATCTCTTCAAACAGGTGTCTAGTTATTAGCTTAGCAATTCCCACTTTCCTTTGAACCTGATATATGCTCCTGGTCTTATTTTAGATGCCCTCATTCAGTTATAATAATTGATTTCTTTTGTGACCACACTTGTTAGCTTTATATCTTCCCTGACATCTGTTTGTTATGTGATATCTCGTTCACCTTTGTTGATGTTTGTAACATTTTCAAATGCAAAAACCTAAACCCCACTGAAGTTCATAGGTGACTTATGCTTCTAAGTCACTTAAGCACTTTTGAAAATGTTGCTCATTTACTTTTAATACCAAATGCCTATAATGCTCTGGAATTTTGGTGACCCTTACGCAAGAAGCAAAATTGAATTAATCTATTATCTTTAAAGAAAGATTGGAAATTATATATTCCTTTTTCCTGGTTGATTTTATTTCAAGAATATCAGGTATGCCAACTCCATACATCCTAATTTTTTTTTATCCCAACTGTCTGTTAGAAGAGTGTATAGTACTGAATCAAATCCCATGATTGGAACTCTTTGATTTTGCATCTACTTTTCCTTAAACTTAGGTGACTAATTCTTACATATGATTCTTCCAGTTGATTATGAAGGCATTGTCAGGAACCTTACAGTAAGTATTGCTTTTAATAGTTGCTATTTCTTCTTGATTTATATTGATGTTTGTTATTCTTTTACAGTATCAGTAATATGCTAAATCCCTTGAAATCTCTGTCCCCAAAGGGATGTCCTAAAAGAGATGTGTGTGTTCAGAAAGATCTTGGACACTTTTAAGGGAATAACTTTTTTCCTGTCTATTTTTTTTCTTTTCCAAAGCAGAACTGGAAGTGTTGAGAATTTTTCTGGAAATGTTATTTGATTCATTACTATCTACATATATTTCTATGTATGACATAGTGGGTACATCTACACATGACGCTACATCTGTGTAGCAACTTGATGTAGCATCAGTGAGCAAAAACCGTGATGCCACAGCTACCCTTGGTATAGCATGTTGCTATGGTGATGTGGCAGCTAAAAATAACTGTGTGCTGTGCAGATGGCACAGTACAGGTTGTTATTGTGCCATCATTTAGTATTTCCAAAAGGAAACACTAAATGGCAGCGCAGTAACAATGATGCCATAGGGCACATGTAGATGTGCCCAGTGAAAGATAAACAATGGCTGGGAAGGGCTTAGAAAAATCAAGGGTCATGGTAATGGGATGATACAAGGAGCCGCTTTTGGCTTATGCAGGATTAGAGGTTTTGTTTGCCATTCATAAACACACTTTTTTCCCCTTCAGCTGACTTTACATCATATTTGCTCAAATCTGGAAAAAGTTGCATGTTGCCAAACTTTAAACATATATCTGCTTGTGGTTAAGAGAAGTCTTATGTGTAGGACTTGTACTTCTATGAACAAAGAACATGCAAAAATGTAGGAAGATTAATATCTATCTAAAATATGTCCCTGTAGAAGAAACATCCTTTAGCTTAGCATGGTCCAGATTTCCTGAGTCTGAACAGCTTTCAGACTCAAGCTTCCCAGACAACAATATTAGGGTCCTGTAATGTTGATTACATATTTCACACACGTTCATTACCTTCTCTGTTGTATGTTAAAAATAATTTTTCTTAAAGAGGAAACAGGATGAAATTGAGACAAAGTTCTAAGAATCGGTCATTCTGAAGTGTAATTACTAGGGCCGTGAGAAGCTTTAGTCCCTGATTCGATCTGGTGAAGATTCAGCCTGGTTTGGTGGCCAAATCTCTGAATCCAAATTGAATGAGAAGACCTTTTAATCTCTGAAAATCGAATTGGAACCCTCCAAATCAATTTGGAGAGATTCGGAAAGAGTTGGCGATTTGGACATAGACACAGCTTTAAATGTTTTTTCTACATACCTCAAGGTAGCAGGCAGCCTGTGAATGCTGCAATGCTGGGGCACATGGAGCGTCCCACAGAAGTGCGGGGGGCTCCCCAGTGCACTTGGCAGCAGACCCGGAAGTGGACCAGAAGCACTTCTGGTCTACTTCCAGGTCCACTGCAAGGCACACGGGGGATCCCGCCCCCTGGCTCAGCAACTGGTGCCTCCTGGGTCTGGGGGGGCACCCAGGGTCCCCCCGCAGCCG